AATAACTCCAAATCCATACCCTGAGTAGAAGAAAGTAAAACAATACATTCTCAATCCCAAATGCAATTATTGATTCTTTTTTAAAAAATATTTTATTTAGGGGATCCCTGGGTGGATCAGCAGTTTGGCACCTGCCTTTGGCCCAGGGCGCGATCCTGGAGTCCCGGGATCGAGTCCCACGTCGGGCTCTCTGCATGGAGCCTGCTTCTCCCTCGGCCTGTGTCCCTGCCTCTCTCTCTCTCTGTCTCTCATAAATGAATGAATGAATGAATAAATAAATAAATCTAAAAAATCTAAAAAATTTTAATTCATTCATTCATTTATTCATGAGAGACAGAGAGAGAGAGAGGCAGGGACACAGGCCGAGGGAGAAGCAGGCTCCATGCAGAGAGCCCGACGTGGGACTCGATCCCGGGACTCCAGGATCGCGCCCTGGGCCAAAGGCAGGTGCCAAACTGCTGATCCACCAGCAGTTTGGGTTTATGCCAACTACGTAATCCCAGGCCTAGTCCTGGGATTATGCCTTGAGCTGAGCCAGCCAAGCGTCCTGAGTTATTGATTCTTTTACTAGCACCTGTCTCCCAATTTCATCTTGACCAACTCAGTTGTGAATGTTTTTGCTCTATAATCAATTGCTCTAATCTAGGACTCATGCTTGTTGTCTCTTTTTCTCTCACCCTCTACATTCAATCAATTATTAAGTCCTTTTGATTCTGCCTCCAATAGATTGCAAATCCATGTCAGTGGTCCCATCCTGGTCTAGGACATCATATCTTTCTCTCTTGGAAATCTTCAAGTGTCTCCTCCTAAATGCTCTTTCCACTTCTAGTCTTACTTCCCATTAATTCATTCTCCATAAAGTACTTATATTAAAACATAAATGCAATTACCACACACTTTTGCTTAAAAGCATCCAGTGGCTTCCAATGGCATTTACAATGAAATCCAATACACTTGTTATGGACTACAAAGCTTACTTCATTTCAAGCCCCTCTCCTTTTTACGTACTATGCTCCTGCTACACTAACATTCTTTTATTTCTTTGGACATTCCAAGCTCCTCCTTAATTCAGAATCTAGAAGTCCCATTATACTGTCTTTCTATCTCCATTTCTTCATGTAGTGAACTCATCTCTCATGTAAAGTTATTAGATTATCAATTTCTGTGTTCATTATTCTACATTTGAGAATATTTTCCTTCATGACATTTATCAAAGGTGAGATTTATTTTGCACGTTTAATTCTTTTTTCCCCATTAAACTGTGAAATAAGATAAAAACTTTGTCAGCTCTGCCATTGTGAGATAAGTTCGACATTTTCTTAGCACAGAGTGAATTCTTCCTAAATTTGTTAATGGAAAGAAGGAAAGAGAGAGAAAAGAAAGAGTGGAGAGAGAGATGGTTGGAAAAGGAATGTGTTTGAGAAACAAATGTTTGATTTAGCAAAAGAAACCCAGTAATCTGTCTAGCTCATATACAACTGTTTTTCTAGATAGCAAAAATTTACAGGGTATCTGCTACTGCCAGATGTTGTGCCAGGAACTAGAAAATATTTCTGTTTTTCATAGGGGAACTCTAACGTTACTTTAAGAGTTCAGTGAAATAAATATACCACTGAATAGGTAAGCAGAAATAAAAGAAAAAATAGACTATTTCGTGTGTCCAATCATTTTATCCTGACGTTCATTCTTCATTTATGTACCAAAGCTTTTTTGTTATATATTTTTTCAGACTTTATCTCTTTTTGGTCTTTTTAAAGGGTGTTCGTGCTCTCATATTATAATTTTATTGTATTATTCAATCTTTTAATTTTGAGTTCAGACTATGCATAATAAAACAATGTACATGTGTATAATTCTTTAGTTTATACCACTTTCCTTCATGTAGCATGTTAATTACACATCTTTGAACTCTTTTGCCCCTAAGCGCTGAAATCTCTGTGAAAATCAAGTCAAGTGCCAGTATTTAACTGGCATCAATTACTTGTATCTGTGATATGTCTCAACCACATTGTTCCCTTTAACTATCATTTACCTTCAGGGATACCTTCATAAATCAAATCCTGAAGTATTTGTGTAAACCATGCTGTATTTCACAGGTAAACATTAATAAACTTGTTATTTAACTATTTGAAATGGCTAGTGGAGGATCAAACCTATCAATGCTACATACAGTCTTTGTACCAATCATCAAGATACCTTTCTGGTTTCACCACTGCTCCCTCTGCTCTAATTACCCCACATAGATCAGTAACTTAGTAAAAGTGAAAATCACCTAATTAGCTTTTAATTAGCACACACTCCATATTTCATCATCTTTGGCTATCTAAAATAGACAAGCAGATCTAAAAGAAGAAAAAAAAAGCTCTTTTTTAAAAAAACAGATACAAACACCACACTCTCCAAATATATGAAAGTAAATAAAATACCATTTTTAGCCTTAAGGATTTTAATCAATAAGCCCTATATTTTTCTCATCAGATTTTTCACTATTTTTTTAAAGTTTTTTTCTTTTTTTAAAAATTTTTATTTATTTATAATAGTCACACAGAGAGAGAGAGAGGCAGAGACATAGGCAGAGGGAGAAGCAGGCCCCATGCACTGGGAGCCCGACGTGGGATTCGATCCTGGGTCTCCAGGATCGCGCCCTGGGCCAAAGGCAGGTGCTAAACCACTGTGCCACCCAGGGTTCCCAGATTTTTCACTATTATAAAGATTTTTAAATGATTGCTAATTATTAAAAACAACCTATTATATATATGGTTTCTTTCATACTTTCATTGCTTAGGAGTTACTCCGAAGTTAATGATGGCTTGTATTACGGAACCAGAGATTTTTTTTTTTAAATGGTCAAAATTGGGTACGTGAATATGAAATTATCGAACTCTGCATTTTAAGTGATTATCCAATTATGTTTCATTACGTTTCTTAAGTATTTCAACTATTCTGGAGACAGTTGAAGGTATTTAAATCAAGATGAATACTTCTTCACATGCAATTCAAACCATGCACAATAGAACAAAACAGTCCGTGGCAAGCATATACATATTTGCATAATTGACTCCGAATCTTAAGGAAGACTTAATACTGATTTTTACATTATTATTCCTATCAAGCACAAAACAGGTATGCGATGAACTTCTGTGTCATGGAAAACTTTATACATATACATGTCTATACATAAATCTCAAGGCAAATAAAATCTCAATGTAGTACATAATATTCTGTAGTTAATCCTTTAGACTATATTTATCATGGCTGTTATGTGTTTATGCAATTTATTAAACGTGATATTTTGGAGACAACTAAGTACATTTTATTAATTTTATTTGAATACTAAGACTAAATTCTGAGTTTTTTAAAATGATTCTGTAGATTATTTATTTTACAGGCTTCACTTAATATATGCTGGAAATAAATTATCATAATACATTAAGAGTTAAAGTCAAATTTTGATCTTGTTATGCTGCTGAATGTTCATTTCAAAATTGTAACTGATAAAAACAAAACAAAACAAAATTGTAACTGATGGCCACATAACTGATTGTGCTGTGTGACACAGAGTAGACAATACATAAATATGTATCTAAATTTTATAAAATCCTACAAATTGCTTATAAGTAACCACGTTAAACTATTAAACAAACATCAGTCTCTTCATATTTATTTATGAATTTTACGATAACAGTTAAAACATACACAGAGTAATTAAATTACTATTCTAATGAAAAGCTATCCAGCAAACTATCTTAAATACAAGGTAATAACAATATCCTTACAATTTAACAATAGAACGATATCCTTAAAACCTGAAGAAGAATAAGTATAAAAGGTTAAGCAACAAAGCTTTTAGAGAAACCATAGGAAAAGATCTTAGCAACCATGGCAAAGGCAAAGATTTCTGTCTTTTTAAAATATTTCTTAAATAGGAATAGGACACAAGAAGCCCTAATCAGACAAGAAATAAACCTAATTGAGAATCTGAATATCCATCCAAAGACACCTCTAGGAGAGTACTAAAGAAAAATCCAACAAATGTTTTAGTATCTAGCATAAATATCCAGTGGTATGCCAGAAAATGTTTAGCAACTAACTTTCCTGTTTTTTTATTTTTCTCTTTGTTTGTTTTAGTGTTTCCCAGTGTGTATGTGGTGTAAAACCTTCTACCAAGGCAGATTTTCAAACTACCAAGCAGCTCTCAAAATTCCTGACACTTTAACAGTTGGCTCTTGTGAATCAGCCAGCTCCATCACAGAGGATTTGATACTCATTGTATATATAAAATGAAAAAGGACACATAGTACAGTAGAAAAAGGGCAAGTCTTAACACTTCAAAAAGGAGAATATTCATATGACAAATAATCATCACAAATATGACAAATAATCATCAAAAAGTGTTTAATGCCATCAAACTTCAAGATATTCAAATTAAAATATTTTTATAAACACACCAGAATGGCTAAAATAGAAGGATAAAAAATTTTAAATGTTAGTGAGAATATGGACCAACTGAACTCTCACATCCTGCTTTCAAGAATCGATAGAACCACTTTGGCAAACTATCAGTATCTACTAAAGGAGAACATATGCATAGCCCAAATATCTAACAGAATACATGCATGGGTTTCCTAAAAGACATGTTCCAGATGTCCATATAACTACCATTCATACAAATCAAAGTCTAGAACTACTTAAATGCATATAAATGGGATAAAGGATCATAATTTGGTACATCCACACAGTTAAATACTACACAACAATGAAAATGAGTGATTTTTCATTGCATATAATCTTACAAATGTAATGCTGAGCAAAAGAGGCAAAGTAGTAATTCTATATAATTTCATTTATAGAATGTAAAACGGAAAGTAATTTATCCTTCTGGAAGTCAATATAGTGCTTATGTTCCATAGTGCTTATATTACCAGAAGAGCACTACGCAATGGGTTATTGGTACTGTAATGTCATATATATATATATATATATATATATATATATATATATATATAATTATTATTATTTTTTTAGTGTGAGAGCTGGTTATATGGGTGTGTTCATTTTGTTACAAATCATTGAGCCTATATACCTAAAAGGTATGGCAGGATATGAGTTGATAAATAATGATAAATGTAATTAAAAAAATATTTTGGCATACTTTAGAAGTTGAATCAACTTGTGAGAAAACTTCATTTACATATATTTGTAAAATATAAGTTACAACTTAACAATGCTTATTGGGAATAAAATTGTTGCTCTATGCATATTCAAATAATGTGTTTCATAAAAAATTTCTTCCATTATCAACAGAGTCTGGTTGGTAGAGCAGTGGAATTTCCCCTTGTTTCTATGTGACACTTGTCTTTAACGACCATATATTTGAAGAAACCTCCCCCCTTGTAAGTAGGGCCAGCCCTAATCCAGAGGCAGCCCATCCAGGCGTCTTCCTGAAATTGTAGCAACTAAAAGCATTCTGTTTACAATAAGAAAACCGTTTCCCCCCCCACACCCTGATTGGAATGTCCCTGAATAGGTTCATGTTGACCCTCCCCAAAATCAACCTGGATGCCATGTGACTCCCGCGGTTCTTTTGTCTTTAGGCAGTTTCTTTCCTTTTGCCTTTTAAAAGATCCCTGTAATTGCTAATCGGGGCTCTTTTCCTCCTCGGAGGCGGAGAGCCCGTTTCCGCAAACGTTCAATAAACCCTCTTGCTAATTGCATCTGCCTGTCTGGGGTCTGGGTCTCTGGGGCGTCCACCGGGCCACGTTGGCACCCGTGAGCCAGGGTCCAACATATTGAGTGTCTCAAAATATGTAATCAAGGCATACATCTTATAATGCCCAGAGGTGGTTCCTTCCTATAGTCACTTAAAATTTTTTTTTCAAGATACCTTTCAATAATGCTATATCACCAAACCAACAAGTTTACTTGATCATCTTTGTGTTTCTTAAGAAATCATTTACCCAAAAATAGAAATTGTATAACACAAATATCCATGTTATCTGCATTTTATATACCAGTTACAAGCTAAATCTTTATTATGCCTACTATTAAAGAAGAGATAAACTAAAAATTATCTTACTAAAATAACACAAATGAAATTGTTTATTTACATTCTGTACTAATCAATTATAAGTGGAATCCAGATTCACATTTTTAACAAATGTTATTGCATACATGAACCAAAGAAATTGACAAATTAATAGGGCCCATAAGATCACCTTAGAAGTCACTGATTACTTCTTATCATTTCTATTTCCATAGTTACATATTTTACCTTCACCTTTCTAAAAGATCCAATATCGAGCTTTCTTAGAGGAATCCAATTTTGATAAATCTTGACAGGTGATAAAGTAAGTTTTCCTTTCAATAACTCATCGGCTCTATTCATTGCCATCAAATGGACCTCACTACAAAAATTTTTAATATATAAAATTGTCATTCATGTCCAAAGAACTTTTTTCAGTGGTATAAATCTTACCGTTCTGAACGACGCCTCCAAATTCACTTAGAAACTATCAAAGACTTTCAAATAACTCTATTATTATAATCCACCCAAGAACATGAACATTTGATAGAAAACATCACACAGTTTCTTCAACATTTATGTAAAAGTATGGTAAAGTATCAAGGGAACTGTGCAAATTACCTTTATATTTATTGGATATAATCAAGCAAGGATAGTAAAGGGGAAAAAACTCTAAAATTGACCGTATTAATTATAATCTTACCATAAGCTCACAGGTTAGGAATTCAGAGAAAAAGTTCACCACGCTGACACCTAGAAAAGCATAAACAAAAATATTTTGTCACTACTGGCATCGCATTTTAATTCAAGAATCACAAAATGTCAAATAGTGATTCAATATTATGAAAAATCTTCATTGTACGAGTAATTATCATACACATAATTTTTTTTTTATGATAGTCACAGAGAGAGAGAGAGAGAGGCAGAGACACAGGCAGAGGGAGAAGCAGGCTCCATGCACCGGGAGCCCGATGTGGGACTCGATCCCGGGTCTCCAGGATCGGGCCCTGGGCCAAAGGTAGGCGCCAAACCGCTGCGCCACCCAGGGATCCCTCATACACATAATTTGACAAACAATTTTGACTACAACATCCCTCTGAAATAACGTTATCATTACTCAGCTCACATCAAACTATTGTGATTTAAGATTAATTACTCCAAGTTGAACTCTTTAAAGCAGCGATGACAAGTAGAGAATTTTTATTGTCTCCTTTGTTTCTTGTGGAGAAACATTTAACAGTTTCAAATATATGCACACCCATATGCACACGCACATGCTACACAAGTGGGTGTGCACGCACGCATATGCAAACGTGGTTATCATACTACAATCCTATATTTATCTTTGTCTTATCTGTTTAAATCAATGGAGCATATATAACTTTCCATCGATATAAATATTATCTATCATGATTTTAAAGGCTGTATAATACTCCATAGTTTGTTATACACCTTAAATTAAGATATTTGATCTAATAGTAATAATATATGATATTGGTTAATATTATCATCTTTAAATTGTGCCATTTAGTTAGCATCATGTGATCATATTTAATAGCTTTGCAAGTTTTAATATTTTGATGCAGTGGTAACTAATTAACACATATTTTTTAAGCCCTTGAATTTGTTTACTTCTAGGTAGATTCTTCTCTATATGAACAAAAGAATAAACTGAAGATTTAATCTTTCACATCAGTGAAGACATTAGTAACCTTTATAAACCCTTTTGAAAACTATGAATCACTGGTATATAGGCAGGTGTTCCACGTGTAATGTATTACAATTTAAGTTAATAGAAAAGACAAACCATAATAGATTGAAACTATTATGTCAATGCCTTAATGAGTGGTGTTGTTTTTAAGGATATGTTTTTCTCAAAGGTCTATGTATTAAATTATTCTGTTTTCTAATATAATTGAAAGAAAAGTTATGTTAACGTAGCCTATCTGCCAAAGAAATGATATTTAACTCTTAGGAGGAATTATCACATGTAAAAGTGATTCTGATACTAAAAGAACCACTTGAGGAGTGAAATAAAATGTTTCTAATATCCTTCTGGTGAAATGTTAGCGGAGGGCAAAATATCACAATCTCTGAGGGCTGAATGTTCACATTAAAATTTATTATTCTTATTCTGCCCATTGAAATCCGTGTGTGGAGTAAAATCTTCAACAATTAATGCTCAGATCTTCTTGATCAAAGTCCCTGAGCTAATCTGACTGCTTTCTGAGTCTTTGATTCTCAATCCATTGTATTTCACTCCAGTTATTGACCACTAGTCCAGGTCTCCTTGTTCCTGAGTTGGTAGATACTGTTCCTTAGACTTTCACAGATTTCTCTCCTGTGCATTGTTTTTACAAATTCCAGTGCACATGGATTAACCTTGTGGACCTGCTATTTATTCTCTATTGTGTTCTGCTTTTATTTTCCCTGCAGGAACCAGGATTGAGAAATTGACTTCAAAAGATCTACTTTATGCTAATGCTCGCTAAAGAAGAAGCCCTCCTCAATAATCTACTGTGATCTAAATACTTCTACTTCAACAAGTCAATCAAGAAATTATATATGAAAAAAAAAAGAAATTATATATGATCTGGTCCCTCCTTTCTTATCAAGAGATGCATCAAAATAAATTTGGGGTAGATGTTAAAGGGTTAAGTGTTAGAATCTACATTTGGCTGAAGCAAAGTATCATCATTGTAGAATGAACTCCTTAGATACATATATTAAATTTTTTCATTGTTATTATCATTTTATTATTAAAGATTTAAAGTCAAGCTTTAAGGTTTGACATTATAAAGCAGGAACAATAGTTTCTTGTAGCACTATCAGATGCTAGATTGCTCCAACAGACACTATGTTGCATATTTGCAATATTAAACTGACAATTTTACCTAAATAACAGAATTTTAACATAAAAAGTGCACAAAGAAATTTCTAGTTATATCTAAAATGCTTATCTATATCTGAATGTGAATATTTAAATAATAACAGTAAATCCAAAGACCATTCTTATTTGTATTTTGGGCATTGTTATAGTGAGTAGATAAGTTAGACCCTCAGACAGTAAGTCATGACCTGTGAATAAATTCAGGAATTCCAGAAGTGATATTCGACACACTTGGCTAGTTGGTCTTCAAAGGGAAAGCCAAGCCAGAGAGGGGATTGTAGGCCTATTAGAAAGCCAAAGCAGAAAAATGGCTTCCCCTAACTTTAACCTACTTTTAACAAATCATTTACATGGCCTGACTCAGGCAAGAATACTGAGTATTGGGACACAAAGGAGAGAAAATAAATTTTAACATGATGTAGATAAGATAACTATTTTTAGGGAAGAGATTTGTAGTGAAGCATCAGTCATTAAACTGTCCTTGACACTGGTACTATGTTAGAATTTTTTCATTGATGCATTTCAAGAAATTTTATTTCATAGATAAGATTCTAGTAAATAGATTTGATCAGATATACTCCTTTCATTTGTACTACTTGTCTATGCGGGGATAGCAATTCAGAAAGAATTTATGCTGAGCAAAGTAAGCATACCTCAGCAAAATTGCAATTTTGGTAATTCTGAAATTCTAATATCCTACACCTTTTATAAGTCTACAAGGCTGCCAAAGTACTGCAGAAGTCTTGAGAAGTTGTACTTGAATTAGTATTTCTATAAATTAACTAATGCTATTAATGAATGCATTTATCAGATATGTGACTCGGCATTTGGAGAAATTCATGGAATCAGCATTTCAGATGTTGATTTTTCTGTGATGCTAAAAGGAATTTGACTGTGTTATCTCTTCGCGGCTCACTTTTGCAAGGGAGTTCAATATTTTGGAGGAAGTGGAAGGAATCAGAATTTTGAAATGATTTGGTAACCTAAAGGTTGTGAAATCATTTTAAATAATTATAGAAAATGTTAAATAATAATAGATAAATTTAAACACAGTTTGGTGGCTTTAGGAAAATCATAGTTAGTCAGCAATGGATAATAAATAGCACAGTGCTAAGATTTCTAAACTCTACATTGTGTGTTCTACATTGATACTCACAAAAGTTCTTGTATTAGTGATTATTTTCCACATTTTCAGAAAAGGCACTGGAAGCTAACAGTTGATTGAATAAACCCCAAAATGTCTTACTGCTAGTGACTTGTAGAGTCAGAATTCAACCCAAGCTTAATTACATTCAGAATCCAATTAATTTATAGACCAGGGTAGGATAATATTAAGAGATAACATTTATTGAATACATACCATATGTCAGGTACTGGGCCAGGTATTTTTGTATTATTAACTCATTTGGTTCTTACAACTGTATCTTTAGAGATGAACTGAGCGGTTCTTTACAATACTTTATTTATTTTTTAAACACAGGTCCTGGCTTCAGAGGCTGTGCCATATGAAACATTACATTACAGTTTCTACATGATATTTAATCATTATGAGTATTCTTGCAATTGGCATTACAATGCACATATTTACATTTTGGGGGGCATCATGTACATGTAATTACACATTCATTATGTGTCTACTATCATCTTGGTTGGTTGGTCCTAGGTAAAAATAATGATAGCATTTATTGAATATATACTGTGTCAGGAAGTATGTTGTTTTTTTTTCAAGATTTTATTTATTTATTCATGAGGGAGAGAGGCAGAGACATAGGCAGAGTGAAAAACAGGCTCCTCTGGGAGATCCTGATGTGGGACTGGATCCCAGGACCCCAGGATCACTCCCTGAGCCCAAGGCAGACGCTCAACAGCTGAGCTACCCAGGCATCCCAGGAAGTATGCTAAATGCTGTAAATTCATCTCATTTAATCCCTAGAGCAGTCCTAACAGGTATTCTGGTCACCCTTATCGCGTACATAAGAAAACTAACTAGAAAGTTAATAAATGTGCCCAAGATCACAAAGTAAAAGGCACAGCTGAGTTTCAGACACAAACTCTCTCACCCTATTAGTTTGACACAGCATAAAGATGCTGATTTTTCTAATGGGAAGGAAGTCTGAAAGAAGTTAGAGGCTCCCATTGTAGTTTATTTAAAAAGAAACTTATAACTTCAACTTCTTAAAGCAGGGCTTTGACTACACCCTAATTTCTAAAAAAACAAATATAGAAGAACAGCAAATAAGTTAAAAATCCTTCCAGTCCTACAATGTCAATATATTAGGATTAATTTTAGATAGTGACAGCCCCTCAGTGTCTAGCTCATTAAATGTTAAACTGAAATTATACATTATTTATCAGACATGCCAATTTCTAGAATTTTCTGCCAATAAATTTGAGAATACATAAGATTTTTCAAAATATGTAGATTTCATGTAATATATGCACAATTTAGTATAGTTATCAGAAACACTTAGAAAATCAGCTAGCCTTCTATTCATTTAGAAAAATGCAAATAATGTTTAAAAAAAAACAACTTTGAACTATCTATTTTCAAGACTACCAAGCTTATCATCCCAGAAGCACATTCTTATAATTATAGGCAAAATGTTTGGGGAAAAAATAGATTGTTTCAGTGAAACCTGTCCTATATTAAACTCTCAATAAATAAATAAATAATGAAAACCCAAATACACCAATAAATAAATGATTGATGGATAGGACCAAAGGAAGAAAGCTGTCTTGCAGTTAGGTGCTACATTTTACTTTAGCTCAGTACCCATACTTTCTCAATGTCTTTTTCAATACCTGGGTCATTTTTTTTTTCCCAAAGCAGATTTTAAACCCTAGGAAAGTTGGAGTGACCCGT